TTGAAATCAATGGGATCACAGCTAATGCATTCATTTAAGTGTTTTCAGAATCAGCATCAGTGTCCTGGTTTCAGCTGGGATGGAGTTAACTGTCTTCCTAGTAGCTGGTACAGTGCTATGTTTTGAGTTCAGTATGCGAAAAATGTTGATAACACTGATGTTTTCAGTTGTTGCTAAGTAGTGTTTAGTCTAAAGTCAAGGATTTTTCAGCTTCTCATGCCCGGCCAGCGAGAAAGCTGGAGGGGCACAAGAAGTTGGCACAGGAGACAGCCAGAGCACCTGACCCAAACTGGCCAACGGTGTATTCCATACCATGGGACGTCACATCTAGTATAGGAACTGGGGGGAGTGGGGCGCGGGGAATCGCCGCTCGGGGACTAGCTGGGTGTCGGTCAGCGGGTGGTGAGCAATTGCACTGTGCATCATTTGTACATTCCAATCCTTTTATTATTGCTGTTGTCATTTTATTAGTGTTATCATTATCATTATTAGTTTCTTCTTTTCTGTTCTATTAAACCGTTCTTATCTCAACCCACGAGTTTTACTTCTTTTCCCAATTTTCTCCCTCATCCCACTGCGGGAGGGGGGAAGTGAGTGAGTGGCTGCGTGGTGCTTAGCTGCTGGCTGGGGTTAAACCATGACAATCAGGGCTTCTGTGAAGAATATATAAAAAGGGGAAATCCTGGCTTAAAGTCTATGGCAAAAATGTGCATTGATTTCTGTGGAGGCAGGGTTTCATTTAAAGCTTATAAAAAAGGAAAATTATTGGTATGAAATAGTACTAGGGAACAAAGTTGCAGATGAAAATAGTTCCTCCCATTGGATTTGCCACTATTTTCTCTTAACCCTGAAAACAAATAATAATTTATCACCTAAGTAAGCGAATATCGATTTAATTAGAAGCTTGGACATATTTTTGCCTAAACAAAATGCACAGGCATTGACCCTGGATGTCTTTACACACCAGAAGTAAGCTGAGTTTCAAGTACCAAGCACATTTGGAATCAGAATGAGGAAACAAAAACGTCTCAAACCTTTAGCATAAACATAGATCAACTGTCATGTAGAATAAAGACACAAGCCTTCAGTCAAGCCAGAAAAAAAGGCACAAAGTCATCTTTGCTTCAGCTTGAAGTAAAGCCAGGAATCATCAGGCAGTCCTCAAGTTTGCTGTGTCTGTAGGAATTTGAGAGAGACAGAGAAAGAAATAGGCTCTGCCCAGCACATTACATCCTGTAAAGTGGGCAAGACCATGCAGGGATGGTTTACAGATTATTTGCACCTTCCATTGTCATTTGCACCTGGTCAAATGTGCAAAACAGTGCAAAGTGGAATGCAGAGTAGCTGTGAAATGCTTTAACCCTGTTTTATTTGTATGGTGCCAGGATATGGTGCTGCCTGAAGCATATACAAAAGCGAATGTTTTTTCTTACCATCTTTCTAAATCTGCTTCATGCCACTCCCCAGATACACTGACATCTGTAATGTCATAAGGGTCAAAGAGGCTAAAATCCAGGTCATTTTAGGGGTCGGTCTGTCATCTTCTAAGTAAGTCAACTGCTGTCTTCCTCCCCAGCTCTCTAAGGGGTGGTGGGACAGACTGCACAAATGCATAGCTGAAACACATCTAGTAAAAGCATACTTCCCCCTACTTGGTATAGTACTTTCCTGCTGTGCAGCTAAAACTCCAGCAATGTAGGAGACATGTGCTCTGCTGCAGTGAGCTGACGGAGCTAAGGCTGACTGGCCATCAGCATGACCATGAACCTCAGGGCTGGGTGCAAGAACTAGATTGTTTGACCTCACCTGCCCACAAATAATACCGCGGCTCAGAACAGCTATGCCATATAAACTAAGCCATGTCTCACCTGACAGAAAAGAAAGGGGGGCAGCTGAGGACTGAAAGGAAGTGCTGAGAGAGAGCTGCCTTTTGGTAGATGCCCTGACAGGAGGTGCACAGGCTCTGTTGTGATAGAAAGTCACCGGAAAGGTGCTGGATAGACAGATAGGTTAGATTGGACAGGCTTGAAATAGAGAGCTTAGCCCTTCAATTAGTTGAATTTCTTCAATATTAGGCAGGGTATTTTTAAGCCTTGGGACTTTTCCTTTATAGTTCAGCTACTTGGGTCCTCAGCTGATGTACAAGGTATAAATGTACAGTTCCACGGCAGTACATGTAGCTACAATGATAAACATTGGCAAAAGATGGGAATCTTTCCAGTACCTCTTTTGAAAACATTTCTCTCCCATTTCTCTCCCAATCGTCTCTGGGATGACACTGGGTGTAGATTTTTTTTTGCCTAACAATGAATGTTTATTTATATAGTTTACATACAATGCGTTCAGTAGTTATATGCGTATCCATGCATATGAAAAATCTGCCAGATATGCAAAGAAGTTATTACCATGACTGCAGCACTACAGAAATCCTGCTGTATAACGAAAAAAACCTGCAACACTACTATTTCATGGCATAGTATCAACCTTTTCATAGCAGACACTGAGAGTTGTAAGATGCTACTTTTTGCCTGTGTAGCACCTAATGTGTCTGCAGAAGTCCCTTAAACACCACAGTAGTAAATAAAGTAAAGTAAATGCATTGCACATAATGAACTGGCAGTTAGATACTGAAAATCTGTATTAGTCCAGCATTGGTCATTGACTTGCCCACCCCTGCTAGAGGCTTTATACAGAAACAGCGAATTGCCTCAAGAAGGGTTTTAACACCAGCCTTGCACGGTATTCCTTCATCTTTATCAAAAGGCATAACTGTACGCCAATATTCTTCACATTAGAAAGTAATAAAATCAAAAGGATTAAAATGAAAATCTTGGTGAAACACTTGAATTAATGCACAGAAGTTCACACAATTGTGATGAAGACAACTGGTCACCATGGTTAAGATTCAGTTACATAAAAAGATCATTTTGGTGTCCTTTGAGGGCCTAAGGTAGCAAACCTGATTTTTCACTTAACACTCCAGACCTTATGGCTCTCCCACAGGTCTTGTGTCAGCCCCATGTGGATGTACTGGAGACACTGGGACATCTAAGTTGCCTAAAGGCAAGGTGAGGTACCCCAAGACCTCCACAGTGACAACAGCATCCTGCCCTGCTAGTATGAGGAGATACCAAATGTTGCCTGCACAGAGCAGGGGCAGCCAGGAAGTGATCTAGGGAAGTCAGTTGTGAAACCTTGTAACTTTTGTCGGGAGGTAAGGACCTGCGCCCCACATTACCCAATTCAATATTAAGCAACTTTAGTATTTGTGTTGCTTCCACTGGGCATGTTTTGAAACATGCTACAACAAGCTAAGATTTCTATTCCGTGTGACATGGGGCTGCCTCCTCCCATGCCATTTTTGTGAATAGCACATTCAGCAAAAACATTCTCATCATGGAAATTTCATACATTTCTGTGCAAAAGTGGGACTACAGTAGGTGAAGTATTCCAAAGCACACTACTGAGGCAGAAAGACATCCTGAGCCACTTCACCAAGACCTTTCCATTTTTGTAAACATTTACAATATGACAAAGTCAGCAGGTTTGACACTCAGTCAAGTGGTTAGAGTCTTTTCACCCCTGCTTTACACATATGGTGAATCAAATCCATAACCATGATATATATGTATATTTTTGAGAAGCCACAATACCAGCATTTTAATAGCATGGAGTGCATTCATGAATGACTAACTAACTGTGTTGGAAAAAAAAATATCAGACTGTTGTTAAGGAATGTATTATTTTGGAAGAAGGGAGTGACCAAAATTTGGTTTTGAAATTATTTAACAGACAGAAAAACAAAGCCCATCCACAGAGTGTCTCATGGTCATTTCTTGCTTAACCTATAGTGTAATTAGATATTAATTATACTTCTGCCTTGTCTTTAAAAAACAGTATGACGATTGAACAAAACAAAGTACATACCATACCAACCAGTGAAATGCTTAAAACCCCATTCAAATCCATGGGAAAATGGATTCAGAATTGTTTCAAATCCATGGAAAAAGCATTAATTTTAGTTATTAATGAGTCATAGTCTAAAACTGCAAGTGCAGTACACAAAAGCCAATGCTGAGTAAAACCAGAAGACATTCCTGCTGAAGTAGTGTCTGTGATAATGTTTAGTAGCCAGAAATCACAAAGTGAGGGGTATTCCCAACCAATGGGAAGATGGGTCTGTAAACTAGGAGACAGCGAGTTACTGAGAGCAGAGATATACCAAAAGGCTTTTCTAATCTCTTATTTAAATTTTCAGCACTGGCAAACTGAAATAGAAATGGATACTGATGCGCTCGGGTCTAGCAGTAGCCATTTCTCTTCAGGCTTACAATACACTTGCAAAGGTCATCCTGCACCCAGTCCAGGGACTGAAAATAAATTTCTAGCACAGCACAGGACACATCCTTATGCATCTTGCAAAATTCTCTCTTTCTTGCAACTGCAGATTGTGCAAAGTGTCCAGTGTAGCATATTATCAATTTATTCAGAGTATTTATTTCAGGCTGAAAATATAATAATTCGCAGAAAAGTGAAGATAACAAACACTGATTGCCAGGTACCCTCTCCTCCTTTGGTTATGATGATCCAAAAGAAAAATCTATTAAAATAAGAAACAAATTTAATAGCTTTTCTAATTCTTCACTGATTCTCACACTCTTTCATGGGACATCATCAGTTTATCATAGTTGAAAGGAAGACAGGGGATTTTTGTGAGCCTGTCTGTTAAAAGACTGATGAAGAGCATATAACAATACACAAAGTCTGGTACCAGGACTCTTCAGCACAGCTATAGCAGCTTCACAATGGTGATTCCTTGAATTGGATCATTACTTTTATAAAGTGAGTATATACAAATAGCTTCCTGAGATTATACCACTGTGGCACTTGCTAGCACATCAGGAAATCCTGAAGCTAAGATTTAGAAGGAAATCCTCCTTTTAAAAATCATAAAGAATTCCTGTTATTATTCTTTGACATTAAAAATGAAACATTCTTACCTTTGGCTTTCGACTTTTCTCCTTATCAGACACGTTAGATGGTTTTCTCTTCAACATTTTTATTTCAGGTTTATCCAGCTGATGTGCAACTGCTACTAGCTTGTAACTAAACTAAGTACAGCAAAGCGTACTGCACAAGCGTACATCAGTTACACAGTTCCTTATTCTGTCAGGATGTGACTTCATGCAGCTGGTTTGTAGTATGGGTGAGTGACCTGAAATCTTTCTTTGAGGAAGGAGTGAGGAAGGAGAGGAGGCAGTGAGGGGAAAAGAGAGAGGTGCGCTAAGGAGATGAGTTGAAAATAAGGAAAGGGTTCAGAGTGAGAAATGCTTTAAGACTTATCTTCTATTTCACCATCCGGCCTCAGTAATACTTTGGACAACCTCAAGAAAATCATCCTCTTTTCCTCTCTCATTTCTCCCCACTCAGTCTTGTGGCTTCATTTCCACTTCTGCTGTGACTTGAATGTGAAGAACGTATGCTGCTGTTCTGAGGACCAAGGGATATTATTCCCCAGCATGTTCACACCGTTCTGTGGTACATGGTCTAGCTGGTCCCTAATGTCTCCCTTTCTCCCTTAGCTCTACAGTAATGCAATAAAACCAATGAGATTGAAGGTCACTGTTTGGCAAAGAAGGGAATTTTTCTAAAGCCATCTTTTTCTTCTGCATGGTGGAATTTTTTTTTTGCCATTCATCACAGAATTTGGACTCCCTGAAATAGCACTTTTCAGTCCTCCATTGTCCTTGATTTCATGACAAAGTCACAAGGAGAAATAGCAAGTCTAACAGAAGGTTTACAACAAAGAGACAGAGGAGAATGACAAAGGTCTTTTATGCCCTCTTGAAAAACAGCCCAGAGGCTAAATGAAAGTGGAAGTATTACGATAGCTTTGAATTTCTGCTTCATTTTGCTTGATATTATTTGCCAAAGTCAAACAAATAAAAGTCTTGAGCATCCTAAGTAAAACTTATTTGTTGTGAATCATAGGCCACAAAACCTGAAACCATGAAAAATTCCCAACTTTTTGCTGAAAGATGGAGGAAGATTCTCAGTTTCAACCCCCAAACTTTTGGGCCAACCACAGAGCTTCAATTAAATCTTAATTTAACATTACTACAAATGAAAAAGAAATCTATTTCTAGCTAAATTGCAAGAAAAAGGTTCAAGAGTAAGTGTGAAGAAAAAATTTTAGTAAAAATACTTTTTTTTTCAAAATGTTTATAACAGTTTTTCAAAAGTATTTTTTTTTCCAAGCAAATCTATTCTAAGCAACTTTTACGCATAAGTTTTGCATACATAAAAGCTCTTTTAAAAAAGCAAGTCACTGTGGAGGTCTCTTGCACCAAATAAAAATTCAGAAGTCCTTGTCAATCCAAATACTCAGTGCACAGAATGAACTTTCTCAATGTCATTCTTTTAATATGGTTGAACTCAAATTTCAAGGAAAGTTGAACCAAGAAACCATGCAAACTGACAATGAAAAGAACTGATGGTTGAAAGCTGGTAAGAAATGCACAAGTCTTATTTCTTAGAATCGCCTTTCCCAGTCCCATAAACACTTCTAAGTTTTTGAAGCATCTATGAGGAGACAATGCTAGATAGGCAGGTAGTCTCTTAGCTGAATTGCTCCATTCTTCCTCTATCATATGAATACTCCAGGGAGGGATAAGACACTGCTGGTTAGATGAATTCCCATTTCAGTTTGCTATTTGGACTTCTATTTAAATGTTTCAGAAAAGTTTTGGAGGCCTTCTTGGACTCTGATGGATGGGCAACTGATGAAATAATAATTATTATATGTTAATGGTATAACGAGGTTTTCCTTTCCAGACCTTTGAAGAACTGGGATGGTAAGAAGAGGAGGAGGAACTGGGGTTAAGGTGCTGAAATTCTGCCAAATATAATGCAAGTTTGTTCTCTGTGTTATTGGATTGCAGTGGAGTATGTGTTGAACTTCAACCTATTAACCAAGATGTTTCACTTCACATTTTAATCAGAACTACACTCATCTAGAAGACAGCTGAATTTATTATTGTTGTTATTAATAATAACATATATATCAAAGTTCATAATCATTGTTACTATTAATAACTAATAATTAATTAATAATAGTGAACTCTGAGACATATGTTTTTTTCATATATCTGATAACAACACCTGAAAAGTCCATATAAGTTTCTAACCATAAGGAGGTTTTACCATGGATATTTAATCAGCCTTAGTAATTCAGTAGGGCCATATATAGTTATAAAAGCTGTATGTATGTTTAATAGTAATTAAACCTGGCTATTTATCTACATAGATGTACATTGTAGTACATTGTTTTTCTTTGTAATCTGATCCAAACATGAGGATTAAATCAGACTCTGCTGATCATTAGACTGTGATTTCCTGTCTCAGGCCACTGTTAAAATCTTCATGATTAATAAAATGGGAACTCATCTGAAGAGTAATATATGAGCTTCCTTTCTGTAGAATATTTATTAAACAGGAAGAAAGAGGCCATTTCAAGAGATATAGTACCCACCCATATCTATTTCCTTTCCTCATCCACATATCAGAAAAATTATAGCAGCTTGAAAGCTGACCTGATTATGCTCTTGCCCTTGGAAGGCTGACCCACACTAGTTTTAAAAAGTAAGAAAGTGAAGAAAATCAAACATATATAACACTAAGTTCGTTTAATTTAGTTAACCAATATGTTACAAAAGGAGCTCTTTTGAATTAAAAAATAATAATAAGCTCAGTGCTTATATCCTCTGTATTTGAAGCTAATTTTTCAAAGGGGAATGAGCATCTATGTAAAATTAAAAGAAAAAAAATCTCATACTTAGTTTTCTGTTGGACATGACTGCAGGTAACTTATTCCATTTCCTTGCTGGTCTTTGAACCTGATCCAAACCTCAGTGAAATCAATAGAAGTTTTTTAGGGTGAATTTTATGGGGCTTGGATTGACTCCTCCATCCTGAAATACCAAGGCAATGTCACTCTTCTCTCTGGGAAGTCGGATTGGGAAAAAGGCTATCCACTTAAAAATAATTAAGATGACCCCATGAGAATGATTACCACTGCCTTTATATTTATAAAAGGCAACATACTTTTTCATATTAGAAACACATATTTCATTGTCCATCAGACAAATCTGGTCCAAGTTCAACCGGAGGCTCAGAGATACCTTGGGGCTGTATATTGCTTTCCCTAATGCTAAGCAATCCCAGAGTGTGTTAGTCTGTTTATTTTAATTAATATAAGACTTATATTTTGTACAAGAAAGGAATCATGTCTTCAGCCTCTGCTTTTATGGCCCTGCCTCTCCTGGTATGATCAAGCTTCCTCAGATATTGCAGAAATCTCAGAATAGCAAGTGAAGCTGAGTGAATAATTTGCAGTGAATAATTTACTTAACAAATTTAATCTTTATTTCCTCAAGGAATGTTCATGAGCAGAAGACAATTTCCTCATATGTATTAATTATGGGCCAGAACATAGCTAGATACTTCCCTTTCCTGGTCTAATCTGAGCCAGGGCCAGCCACTGTTACAGTCACTGCTACTCCTCAGCAGAGATCTCTCCATAACCGACCACGGCAAAGACTCTACAGAAACTAAAAGGAAGAAGTGTGAAAAAGTGAAGTTAAACCCTCTCTCCCCTGCCAAAACCCCATGAAAGAAGCCAGATGTTGTAAGGCTGGGCTGTCTTTATAACTATTTAAATTAAACACTCACTTTTAATTTTAACTCCAAAGATTGAGGCTGTGATTTTCCATTGGGATGCTGGGGAATGGAGCTGGATGCTTAAGGTCCCATCTTTGAAACTCCCACACTCACTGCAAACTCATCACTGAGAGCATCCAGAACTTAGTACTGAAAATTTGTCCAAAATGCTTAGGGGCTTCATGCAACAGGGTGTTTAATTTCCTGTTGAATAGGCTCCTACGTGCTTTTAATCAGGAATAAAAAAAGAAGAAGCTACAGAAACTCGGAGTCTTTGAGAAACAAGATGGGATTAAAGAATATTTTAAGTTTACACCCTTGATTTGGCAGAGGGTTGACACTATATCAAGAAGACTCCTATCCCATACAAAGTATAATTCTTATGAAGCCTGCAGAAACTGCCTATTCAGCAAAGCTAATAATCTGAAGTTAGCTTCAAAAACTTGATCTCTGCTAAATAATTTACATTGGGGGAATTTTTAATGCCACACATCCACTGAAACAGCATGAGGGAACAACAACAGAGCAGAGTCTAAGCTTGTTTAAGCAACTGTCAGGTTGCAGAGCAGCAGGAATACCCTCATCATACCAAGTCCCAGGAACTGTGAATTCAGCCTCTCTCAGACTGTTAGGCTTCCTTCTCTTCCTGAAAAAAAAATTTTTGTGATTCTTCCTTCTCTTATGCTAATCCTTTGCCACTAAGGTCAATGGAGTCACAAAGAAATATGGCAGGGACAGCCTATCACTAGCAGAGCTCCTACTGAATTTAAAGATGTGTCTGGTACAAAAAGCGGTTGCTACTCTGTGAGTAAGAAAAAGTGTCTTATTGCCAGGCCCTCAGACTGTGTCCTTGGCATGCTCCCAACACTGCCTGGCCTAAAGGGAAAATGAAGTACCAAGAACTTATCTCAAACTTTGATCCCAACACATTCTTCTGCATTAGCAGTAGATGAACAGATCAGTCATACCTACACCATGTCAGGTTAGCACTAACACTAATAAAAATCTATACTATTGTGACAGAAGGATTCTCAAGGAGATTGGCTTTCACCTATTGAACAAATCCCTTTCTTATTACCTTGAAGAGTAAGAGCCAAAGTTATATCTATATCTTCTAGGTATTCCTGTTGGGAAAACTCAAAGTCAGCAAGGTTGATATCTTGTAAAGCACAGCCAGAGGCTTATCCAGCATCTGTGTAATAATTTCAAATAGAAATATGTACGTCATTGGTGGTTTTCCTGTACAATTTATTGTAAGAAGAATGCACATTACTGTCTGTGATGGATAACAGAAAGTAACTGGCAGGACAATGCTGCTGTGGGTTCAGGCATGTAAGTGAACACCATGCTGTTTCTCAGAGTGAATGTTAAAATGTAGCTCAAAGCTACATCTTGATGTTCATGCCTAGAACATCTCGATGGATTTTGTTAGTGAACACTGAGATTACTATTAAGCTACAAAG